AAAAAAAAAAAAATTTGCAAATTATATATGTGCAAATTTACTGCTATTTAAGTTACACCTTACAATTTTCTCCAATTAAAACAAATACCTACAACATTCCTAATATTAAAAGTGCACTGTACCATAGATAATCTACTACGTGCTACTAGAGACACAAGGAAGGACTGGCTAGGTTATATATTCACATAGATTTTATCCCAAGATAATTTAACAAGTACTTACCTGTTCCCAAGTACCTCCTTGCTTTCAAATGATATGTGAGAGCCATCTAACGTCAGTTTTGTTTAATTACAATCTGCACAGTAGGCTGGATATATTGTAAATAAAAGTCACTTTTTTAAAGCCATTTGAACCTACTATTTGAAATAACATTAACAATTCAATATCCTGGCTCAGCGCCTGTGGCTCAAGTGACTAAGGCACCAGCCACATACACCTAAGGTGGTGGGTTCAAATCCAGCCCAGGCCCGCCAAACAACGATGGCTGCAACCAAAAAAAAAAGAAAAAAAGGCCAGGCGTTGTGGTAGGCGCCTGTGGTCCCAGCTACTTGGAAGGCAGAGACAGGAGACCAGCTTGAGCCCAGGCATTGGAGGTTGTTGCTGTGAGCTGTGATGCCACAGCACTCTACCCAGGGGGACAGCTTGAGGCTCTGTCTCAAAAAAAAAGAAAACAATTTAATATCCTCATGTGTACAAAATGATAATGCCAATCTTCACTTTTTTTTAACATGTTAAATTCAGTCTTTAAATTCTCTCTGTTTTAAATGATATAAGGTATTCATTCAACATAAAACTAACACTCTTAATACTCTACACCAGTGGTTCTCAACCTTCCTGATGCCACGGCCCTTTAATACAGTTACTGTGGGTTGAGAACCACTGCTCTACACCAATGTTTTTCTAACTTCAGAAATTTCTTTTTCTAACTTTTGGCAAATCTTCATAGCTAGGGAAGTTTCTCTTCACTTAAGAGAATGTAACAATGGGCATGGAAAAATCTGTAATGAGAATATACTCAATCCTCAGTTTGAAGCCCAACCCACTTGCAGAACTTCTGTGGTCACTCATGAACATGTACAAGGGAGTCAAAAACTGCCTGATGTGCACTTTCTCAGTTGAGGGTAAACAAGGATAAATTCTGCCTTCTTATTTCAGCTCTTATACTGTAAACAAGGGACCTTTTCATAGTATATTAAATGCTGGGCTTTTTTTTTTTTTTTTAAAGACAGAATCTCACTTTATCACCCTCGGTAGAGTGCCATGGTGTCACAGCTCACAGCAACCTCCAATTCCTGAGCTTAGGCGATTCTCTTGCCTCAGCCTCCTCAGTAGCTGGGACTATAGGCGCCCACCACAACACCCAGCTATTTTTTCTTGCAGTTTGGCCGGGGCTGGGTTTGAACCCACCATCCTCGGTAATGGGGCTGGCACCCTACCCACTGAGCCACAGGCATCACCCTAAGGTGTGTATTCTAATTGATAACGCAATAAGAAATAACAATTATACCTGAAACTGCATCAAACTGCTGAGCTAATGGCTTAGACTCACACTGTGGAAGGGAAGTGTTTGCAGCAGCGACAGGCTGCTGCACGCAGAGAGGATGGCCCAGTAAGATGCGCTCTGCTGCTGCTGTCAGCCTGGGCCTCTGTCCTTCACTAAGTTCACCCACACTGTTTTCCAAGTCCTTTAAAAAGTAGAAACAATTGTTAAAACTATTATATTAAAATCAAGTCAAAAGAGGAAATATTTGTCAAACATCATGATCCATACCACTTGACTACTTGAAAGGTAATTTAGAAAGTGTTTATTATGCCATCTACACATTATATGCAAGAAAAGCTTAAAAGGTAATTTAATAAAGCCTAGTCACAGGCTTTGCTTTCAATATCTTGTATTTTATGAGGTTAAACATAATCTGTTTTTTAACCTCCAATTACATAGCAATGAAACATGTAAGAGAAACTCTAACACAATTTAAAACATTAAATGCAGGCGCGTATTACACATTGTTTATACAGCTTAAAGTTATAATAAAATCAGATCTAAGGTCCTTAATTAAAAAGAAAAACTAGAGTAACAGTAAATTTCTCCCTCATTTTTCATGAATAAAAATTGCCTACAGTTTGTTAGTATGAACTTTACACAATTAAACAA